TCCTATTTTGAGGAAGATGGCAGAGGGGTAGAAATTCCATCTGGGTCTAGACTTAGACTTATAGCAATTTAGGGAGTGCAAAATTTTGCTGGTTTTCTGTACGTTCTTTCAAGACTTAAAAATGCTACGGGTAAAAAGCCTTCAATCTGGTGGAATTTCCGCCCGCAAGTGAGAGGGCAGGAACAGACTGAGATGCCACCACCACCCCCCCCCCCCCACCACCCCAAGTGTCAGCCTGACTCAGTTGATAACCTGCCTTCTCTTCAACCAAACCAAGCCTCGTTGAGGAACGTTTCCTCTTTTAAGAGGATTGAACTTGTGCCGGGTTTTATCTCCGCTGCTTTGTGAAAGAGTGCCCTCCTGTGGACTCGTGCCTCACACTTATTTCAGAAAATACAGGATAATCGTTTCCTGATGGAGTTGTGTGGGGGAAGGGAGAGGCTTCCTCTCATTAGCTTTATTGAGAACCAGACTTTGTTCATGAGTCATTTGTAATTGTACGAGGAAAGAAATTAAATAAAACCCGGGATCGATTTACATTACGCTAAGAATCGTTTTAAGTCTGACTTTTACTAAAACAGTCGCTACACTTGATGACAGCGATTTCTGTGAAGCCCCTCGAGATGTTTCGATGCAGTAAGCAGCGGCGAGAACTCCAAGCCCACAAAACGCACAGCCACTACACTTTATAGCAAATCCCGTGCAGAGCGTTTGAGACGTCCTCCCGACGTGAAAGCCGCAGTGTCAAATGCATTGATTAGCAATATTGTTATACGTATCAAGGCTTTTTTCTTGTTCCGATAGTTGCAGATGAGGTGGAAAGGTGCATTTGATGAGGAATAATGCTGATTCTGCAGTTTTTTTAAGCCCTCGAAGCCCCTGTGTTTCAGCCACTAACTCCCGAAACTCTGGAACACTCTCCCTCAAATCCCTCCGCCTTGCCTCATCCTTCTTCATCTTCAGGTCGCGCCTGAAGACCTTCCTCTTCGAACCGTGCCTGCGGTCACCTCCCCCCCCAACCCTCCCCCGGCTCAGCCGTGCTCCGCTACCGTTAAGCACTCTGGGATGGCACCTTGCCTGAGAATAGTGGACAGTGCAACAATTGGAGGGGAGGTGGGATGGGGAGTGGGAGAGCTATTCTGCCGCTAGGGATCGCCGAGACAGTATTTTTCTGCTTTTCGACCGATCGACGTAAAAAAAAAGATGAAATAATTTTCCTGGAACAAGATAGAAAGGTGGAACGCTCAACTCTCCGCATATTTCGGAGAAAACCCGATGCCTTCGCGAGGGAAAAGGGAATGGAGGTTTAAGCACGGGCGCGGATAGACTGTGCAACTCCATTAAGCTGCTTAGCAACAGACAAAAATGAGTGAAGACAATTGGATTGTGCAACCGAATTACTTTTGCTGGTGAAACCAGAGCAGAACCACACCCAGTAAAACAAGTTTTACCATGGACAACTGCCCTCGATCCACTTTCACGCCCAACACTTCACGTAGCAAACCCAACCTCGTCAATCATTTTGTCTGGAGTGGATAATTGTCTAAAACAATGGGGAGGAAAATTGCACCTTTGTGTGCGTTCCTTTGGCGATATTTGTTGCATCGAAATGCATCGGGACCTTGAGCTCGTAGTGTAGGTAGGCTGACACCATGGATTGAGATGTTAAACGAGTTCCCGTCTGTGACTGTTCTGGTGGACGTCAAAGGACCCGTGGCGATACTGAAAGGGGAAGGGAGTTTCTTCCTGGATCGTGGCCAACAATCCACCAGATAAAAATCGGTCGTAGCTGTTGGTGGGACATGGCTGTGCGCAAACTGGCTGCTGCGTTCACCCGCGAACACACAGACACTACGCGTTACGGTAAAACTGCCGTGAAGCACTTTGAGACGGTGATAAAGCCCCGTGTCGAACGCAAGATTATATCATGAGATGATACAAATCGCCCCCCACCCCCCACCCCATTTCGCGTGATTCTTTTTTGGTTTAAAAAGCAGTAGGTCTACTGCCGGCTCTCTTAATTATTTACGCCCTCTAGCTTTTGGCCTCGCCAACAAGTGGAAACAGCCTATCCACAACGACCTTGTCAAATCCTTTCATTATCGTAAATGCTTTTATCTGTTACAAATCGGGTTAGGGGGCAGCTGTCATGCCCCAGTCTGCACAGTCGGAGCGGAGAAGCTGCTGTTTAATTGTTAACATAACCCTGACACAAAGCTCGGCTGCTTATAATAATAATAAACCCACAAACAGCCGTGAAGTGTGGGCCCGCATCGTATTTATCATCGGATGAAAATAACTTTCGCACGGATAATCATAATAATCCTTGCATTTGATACGGCGGGCTTCGCGGGCGAATCGCGGCGGCCGGTTTGCGCACCGCCACGTCCCGTAACGCTGGAGTGAACTGAGCTCTTTTCCCCCGTGAGAGGAAAAGAGGAAAGTTGTTGAGAAAGGGGGAATCGCGGAAAACCCGGTGTCAGCAGTTTTCAAAGCAAAA